GTTTGGTTTTGTTTTTTTTTTTTTTTATATACACACACTGTACCTCTTCCTCTTTTACACACGGATGAACCCTAGTTACACGCTCTGGAGCTGGTAGAGGTTTAACGTCTGGAGATGCTGCTTTGCAAGCCAGTAACTCCTCCCAACTGTATATTTTTTCCTTTAGCAACATCTATTTTCTTACTTGAAGAGAGAGAAGAAAGAAAAAAACAAAAACAAAAAAACCACCTTTTTTCCCCCTGCTTTTCAACCCAAGCTGCAGCGGGGGGTTAACGACCAACGGTGAATATCTATTTTTCAGGCTGGGTTTTAGGGCTCTAATTATCTTACTCCTGCAGTGCCATTAAAATTCTGTAATAAAACTTCTATCAGGGCAACCACCAGGCTCTGTGTTTTGGGGTGGAGAAGGTGGGGGAGGGAAAGGGAAACTCCTGCCTGGTGGGGGGATGGATGTGGGGTGACCTTGGGCACTGCCCCAACCACCTGTCCCGGTTCCTGATAAAGTTCCTTCTGCCTTGTTCCCACCAGGAGCTGTTTTTAGGATCTGAGCTCAGTGGGGCCTCACTCCCTGGGGGGTTGGGTGGTTTTTGTTTTTGGGGTGGGGGTTGTGATGCTCCTTCCTCTCCTGGCCCAAGGGTCTTGTTCCTTCAAGAGCTCTTGGGGCTCATCAAAACCGATACCCCTTTCTTCTTCCTCAAAAAAGGAAAAAGCAGCTCGTGCTGACTTCCCACTTTCCTTTCCCCTTGTCCTTCTGCAGCCAGATCCTCCACGCTCCAAAAAAACACCCCCACACAAAAAAAAAAAATCACCACCACCCAAGGTGCTCCAGTTGGAGCTTGAAGGCTGCGGCACCTCGGGCTGCGTAGGGGTGGGGTGAGGGGAGGCTCCCAGCTCACCCTGGGGGTTGTGGCTGGCAGGGAGGGGGGGGATCTGATCTGTGTGAGGTTAGGGTGGAGTGAAGTCCCCGTGGGTCCCCCGCCCCCCTCGCCGAGTGGTGGAAGATGGTGGCGACGATGATCGTGGTGTCCATCCCCGCGGCGGTCACGGCCAGCAGCCCGGACAAGGCGCACACGGTGAGGGGGCCTGGGGGGCCCTTTTTGTCTGGGGGTGTGTCTGTAGGTTTGGTTGTCCCCGGGGAGAGTTTTGAGGGGGTAGGTGGGGGGATGGAAAGTGTCCAAGTGTCCCCAGGAGGGCACCACGTGTCCCCAGAGGTCCCTGCCCACAGGGGTA